CATTTTCCTGTTCTGTAGTTCATGAATATCTAATTTGCGTTGATATATAACAAGATTTGCATATTGGGATGATTATGATGAATAATTCGCAGATTTAGATCACAATCATCGTAGTCAATTCAAGCACCTATGATCATACTGAGGTTAATTAACGACAATTATAATGCATCTGCTTAATCAAAATTAAGTACTTTTTTTTAATGCGCTTATTTCATCGCATTTTTTTTTTTTTTTATTCGTTTTTGTTCTTTGTTCTTTGTCTTGTCTCTTTCCTTGATCTGTGTTTCATCTCTCTCTTTCTTTCTTTTTTACCTACTACTTGTATTTCTCTCTCTCTCTCTCTCTCTCTCTCTCTCTCTCTCTCCTCCTCTCTTCTCTCTCCTCTCTCTCTCTCTCTCTCTCTCTCTCTATCCACTAACTATCTGTCTGTTCTTATTCTTTCCATCTCTTCTCTCTGTTCTCGATCTGTCTCTCTCTCTTCTCTCTCTCCTCGTCTGGGGTAAACGAGGTCTCAGTCGCGAGGTCTATCTCGGGCGCGGCGATCAGTTCTATGTAGCTCTCGCGCGGGCTTGATCAGTAAAATTTCTCCGCTACGGCCGTCCTCCTACTCCAGCCATCAGTACGTGCACTCGTTTGTCTCGGTTTCTAATCTTCATTCTCGCCCTCTCCGTCTCCTCTTCTCTCTCTCGGTCCATCCTCCTCTTCTCATCTCTCTCGTCCTCGTCTCTCTCTCCCATCTCTCCCGTCTCTCTCTCTCTCATCCTTCCTCGTCTCTCTCTCTCCTCTCTTCTCCTCTTCTCTCTCTCCGTTTGGTGCACTTCAGTCTCCCCGCTCCTCTCTCCTCTCGTCTCGCCTCCTGCTCTGCGCATCTGCGTGCTGAGCTGCCATCTCTCCTCTCTCTCCTCTCTCCTCTCTCTCTCTGTCTCTCTCTCTCTCTCTCTCTCTTCTCCTCTCCCTCGCCCCCCTCCTTCCTCCCAACCCTAATGTGTCACACCTCTAAGACGCTCGGCCGCCACCATCCCCATCACTGCCGCCCACCCCGGAAGATCACGTTGCGTAAACAGGCATCCTCCCTTCTCTCCTCATCTCCGTCCTCGTCTCTATCGTCGGTCCTGGTGCTTGAGTTCCGGGGCCTCTCCTCTCTCCCCCGGCGGTCTCTCCTCTCGTGCCTCCCTCTATCTCTCTCTGCTCTCTCTGCTTCGTCCGGTCTGCTCTCATCTCGTCTCTCTCTGCGTCTGTTCTCGGTCTCGCTGCGGTCTCCATGCGCCATGATTCGGGCCCATCTTCCGGCTCTCCCTCGTTCTCCCTCTCCTCCCGATCCCCCCCTCTCTCTATATCTATATATCTCTGACTCTCGTCTCTCTCTCTCTCTCTCCTCTCCTTCTCCATCCATTCCTCTTTCCTCCCTCCTCCCTCTCCCCCCCCCCTTTCTCTCCCAAACCCCCTTTGCCCAATTTCTTCACCCTTGCCTCCGCCTCATTACTTCAGGTTCCCTCCTCTCCACTTTTATCACTTGCCTCCATTCCTTTCTCTTCAATAACTCTCTCGTGACCCTATTTGTCAACCTTCCTATCCTTCTCTGCTATTCTTCTATCCCTTCCGTCTATCCTCCCGTTATCCTTCTATCCTTCTATCCTCCCCGGTATTCTCTGTCTTCCTGAAGTGTCCAACTATCCGTCTGTATCCTTCGCCAGTTCTCTATTCTTGAGCCTATCCTTCAAGCTTATCCCTAGTCAGCCTTTCCTTCTTCTTTCCTTTTCCTTTCTCCTTCTATCCATCTGTGTGTCCCCTCCCCCACCTTCCCCCTCCCTCCCCTCCCTCCCCGTCCTTGCAAACCTCGCCATCCATATCTGTCTCCCTTCTATCCCTCTCTTTATCACCTCGCACCGCTTTCTATCCAAAATACTATTCTTTCAACCTGCACGTTCTCACCAGCTTCCTCCTTCTATCCATCTTTCTATCCCTGTCGATCCGCCTCCTCTCCAAGAAGTTTTTTGTCAGTCTTTCTATCCTTCTAGCCTCCCCGTCCCCCTATGCCTCCTTATCCTTCCTTATCTTTCCGTCCTACCGTCTCTCCCCATCCATCCTGCCTCCTATCCCCCCCGCATTCCTTCCCCATTCGCACAGCTTTCCTAGTTCCTTCAATTATCCTATCCCTCTTACCGCCCCATTTCTCTAGCCTTCCCCATCTTCCCATAACTCCCTGTTCCTCTTGCCTCTCCCATCCCTTCAGTTAACCTCCCCCCCCCCATCTCCCCACCTCCCATCACTTCAACCTACTCTCCCCTCCCCTTACCTCCCCATTCCTCTATATCTACCCATGCTCCATCCTCTTCTCCCTTCTCCTCCTTCTCTTCCCTTCCTCCCTCCCTCCTTCCTAACTCCTTCTCTATCCCTTCGACTTCCCTATTAAACCATACCTCCCCACCTCTCTAGCCTCCAATCTGTCCCCCCCTCTCCCACCAGTTTCCCTATCTCTCCAGCCTCTCACCCTCCCCCCCTAATACCCTATCCCACCCTACCTCCTCACCTCTCTAGCCCACCTTATCTACCCCCCCCCCTCCCCGCATGAGACAACCCATCCCCCCTACATCCCCATCCCCCCCCCTCTTAGACAACCAAATCCCACCCTACCTCCCCAACTTCCCCCCCCCGCCCCCATCCCACCCTCCCTACCCATCTCTCCAGCTCCCCCTCACCCCCCATTCACCTCACCCCCTCTTTGACACCCCCATACCACCTTCCCATCCCCATCTCTCCAGTCCCCCCCCTCATCTCCCTCACCCCTTTCCACTCATCCCCCCACCCCATTTTCCCCCTCAAACCCCTCTCATCCCCTCCCCCTACAGCCCCCCCACTTAGACACCCCCTCCCCATCTCTCCAGCCTACCCCCCTCACCCCCCCATCCCCTCACCCCTCATCCCCCTCACCCCCCCCCCCCCCCACCAGCTCCCCACCCCATTTCCTCCGGAGATCGCACCGCTAACGGCATCAACTGCTGAACGCGCGAGCTTTACAGTTAAGCTAATTTGCGCGACATCAGAGAGGGGAACCGCAACAGGGGAGGGGAAGGGAGGGAAGGGCGGAAGGGGAGGGAAGGGGAAGGGAAGGGAGGAGAGGGAGGGGGGAGGGAGGGAGGGAGGGGAGGGGGGGAGGGGAGGGGAGGGAGGGGGGGAAGGAAGAAGGGGAGGGAGGGAGAGGGAGGGGGAAGAGGGGAGGAGGGGAGGAAGGGAGGGGAAGGGAGGGAAAACGAGGGAGGGAAGAGGGGAGGGGAAGGAGGAGGGAGAGGGGAGGGGAGAGGGATGGGAGGGAGGGGAGGGAGGGAGGGAAAAGGAGGAGGAGGGGAGGGAGGAGGTGAGGGGAGGGGAAGGGAAGGGTAAGGGAGGAGAGGGAGGGAAGGGAAGGGGAGGGGGAGAGGGAGGGAGGGGAAGGAAGGAGGGGGGAGGGGAGGAGGTCGGTGAGGAGAGGGAGGGGAGGGGAAGGGAAGGGGAGGGGATGGAGGGGAGGGGAGGGGAGGGGGTGGGGTTTAGGGAAGGGAGGGAGGGGAAGGGATGGGAGGGAGCGAGGGGGGAGGGGAGGGAGGGAGGGGAAGGGGAGGGAGGGGAGGGAGGGGAGGGTAGAAAGGTGGGGAGGGAGGGAAGCGGAAAGGGGATGCGAGGGGAAGGGAAGGGAAGGGGAAGGGGGGATGAGAGGAGGAGGAGGGGAAGGGAGGGGTAAGGGATGGGGAGGGGAGGGAGGGAAGATGGGAGTGAGAAGGGGAGGGGAGGGGAGGGGAAGGGGAAGGGTCTAGGGGAGTTAGAGGGGTGGAAAAGAGTAGGGGAAGGAGGGAGGAAGGGGGGAGGAGAGGGGAGGGGAGGAGAGGGGAGGGAAGGGAAGGGGAAGGTGGAGGTGAGGGAGGAAGGGAGGGCGAGGGGAGGGGAGGGGAAGGGAAGGGAGCAACGGCGAGGGGAGGAGGGGAAAGGGGAAGGGAAGGAGGGGAGGGAGGGAAGGAAGGGAGAGAGAGGGGAGGGGAGGGGAGGGAAGGGAAGGAGGGAGGAAGGAGAGAGAGAGGTTAGGCGAGGGAGGGGAGGGGGGAGGGAGGGGAGGGAAGGGACGGGTGAGGGGAGGGGAAGGGAGGGGAAGGGGTGGGATAGGGGAGTATAGGGAAGGGAAGGGGAAGGGGAACGGCAGGCGAGGGAGGAGAGGGGAGGGGAGTATAGGGGAAAGGGCAGGGGGAGGGAGGGAGGAGAGGGGAAGGAAGGGAGGGAAGGGAAGGGGAAGGAGTGGAGATAGAGGAGTAGAGTAGAGGGGGAGGGAAGTTGTAGAAAAGGGAGCGAAATGGGAGATAAAGGAAGGAGGGAGGGGAGGAAAAGGAAGGCGAGAGGAGGGAGTGTGGAGGAATAAGGGAGGGGAAGGAGCGGAGGTAAAGGAGGGGAGGAAAGGAGGAGTGGGAACGAGGTGTAAGTGATGGTTTTCTGGGGCTGAGAGCGGGCGGGAAAGGGGGGGTGGTTAGTGATTTGTTAATGGAGAGAGGAAAAAGAGGAGAGGGAGAAAAGATATATAGAATGGAAGAGGAGGATGAGGATAATAGGGAGAGAAAGTTTAGAGAGAGTTAGAGAGAGAGAGAGAGAGGAGAGAGAGAGAGAGAGAGAGAGGAGAGAGAGAGAGAGAGAGAGAGAGAGAGAGAGAGAGAGAGAGAAGAGAGAAGAGACAGACAGACAGACAGACAGACAGCAGACAGAGAGAGAGAGAGAGGGGAAGAGAAGAAAGAAAGAGAGAGAGAGAGAGCAGGAGAGAGGGAGAAAGAAAGAAAGAGCAAGAAAAAGAGAAAGAGAAAGAAAGAAAAAAAAAAAAAAGAGACTGCCAGACCGAGACAGACATAGATAGTAGAGTCTCAAAAAATAAAAAATAAAAAAGTGTGGATGAGAGGTATATAATAATCTTCAACATGTAAAGATATGCAAAATACATTAAAGCAAGTCAGGGTGCGAGTACTTAGCACTTTATTACCTCACAAATCTTACTTCATCATGAGTGGGTTATTGACATTTACTTGTAATCTGTGTACCATGTAAATCCCTGTATATTTAATCTGTAATATGAATAAATAAATGAATAAGATACAAGCCAAATGAAAAAAATGATAAATTGATGATAATGATAATGATGATATAATAATAATAACAGTGATGATGATGACAATGATGATAATAGTAGTAGTATAATAATGATGATGATAATAATAATTAATAATAATAATAATAAAATAATAATTAATAATAATAATAATAATAATAATAAGATTACTCTGCTATGCGAATAATAATAATAACAATAAAACAATGATGATGATAATGATAATAAATAATGATAACAGCGATGATGATAAAATTAATAATGATGATGATGATAATAATATATATAATAAAGATAATAATGATATTGATATTGATAATAACAACAACCACAATAATAATAATAACAACAATAATAATGATACTACCACTGCTACTACCATTAAAGATTATAATGATAATAACTGTTTAGTTATCTGGACAAATGGAAAAAAACAAAATAGGTAGATATTCTAAGCCAAAATGTCGCAATTTTCAGGCAAAATCTCGGTACAATTTTAAAATTACAGAATCCCTGAATTTCAAGTAAGTCTGAATTTAAAAAGGCTCGACTTGTTTGAATAACACT